TCTGCGCAGATTTACCAGTCAGACACGACATCTCAAAGTGGAAAAAAACTCGCTGAAAGCGAATTTTAGCAATCAACACAACTTGACGTAGAGACATGATTGGCTAAAAAATACAACGGTTTTTGATACATCGGAAAATCAACCAAAAATCGAACACTGGGCGAAACGCTCAAGGTCGCAGAGGTATAGGGAATCCCATTGCGAAAGCAACGGAACGATTCTAATATCATGGGGAACTCCGTTCCCATGACAAAAATAAGTTTAGTTACTCAGTTAGCGGCACACAGTGGATTGGGTCAATGGAGAATTTGCACGCAAATTTTTTATTGCTCTATCTGAAAGGGCTTAAGGAGCTGATTTTTCAGTATATTTTATACATTTTTCCGGCAATGGGATATAGCATAAAAATAGATTTAAAAGTGAGAAAATGCTAGGGACGTAATCTGGTGGCATTTCCCATTTAAACACACGTATTTTAGTAGATTAGATAATTCTGTCATATCTTCTCTAATAATTGTTCAATTTATGAACGAAGAGTATCCTCGTGTTCAGCTCACTTGGTGGCGTCCACTCAAACACGCAATTCATCAAATTTCAGACACTTGCAAATTCTTCATTAGGTAGAGAGGTCAGACATGAAATATTTGACTAGAACTGCAAATTTTGATGGTTATTTCGTCACATTTTAAATTTCAAGGGGTACTTGCAGAAGAGAATTTTACGAGAATACCAATGAAACCACTTTTAGAACCTCAAAATGTTGTATAAACGTCGTTGTAAGCTTTTAAAGTTTCCAAATTTTGTCCGACCTCTCATATTGACTCGATCCACTGTGCGGCACTGAGTCGCCCAATTTTGAGAATTAGTCATCGACTTATCGACCAAAATTTGTGATTACAAAATTTGTGTTGAATGATTTTTTTTTCACTGATCACGCTCTAAAATATATTACTTGATTAATTTCATTTTATCAAGTTTGTGTGTTTTTGTTCTCACTGATTTATATACGCTTGAAATAGGTTAAAGGGATTAATGAGTTCGGAAAATTTCGCGACTTAATATTTAATTAATCTACGGTCTTAATCTGACTAACAAGGCACGATTTTGTGTTCCAGCGAGCTCTCTCCCCATCCATTTGGAGGATTTTATTCTTATTCGTCGCCAGGATTTCTAGTCCGAGACCCAAACCTGATCCAGAGGATTTTGATCAAGGATTTCGCGTTCTTCCGAAATCGCGGCATAATTTACGACGAGAAATTGGATCCTCTCTTGGCAAACTTGTTCCATCTTGATGGGGATGCATGGCGGAATATACGCCTAAAAACAGTAGCAGCTTTTAGTAGTGGTACGTTCAGTTCTAGAAAATTGGCATTATAGAGTTCGCTCTTGCGCCCATAGTTAAGGTAACCTATCAACCCCCCCCCCCCNTCCAATCCACTCCGGTTGAATTCAGCATTTATCTGTACTAAAAATGTGACTCATTACCGAGAGTGCCACACACCGCGGATAAATTAAAACCATTCTTTTGAATCAGTAGAATGTTAAAAGTAATTTAGTAAAAGAAGAATGGTCAGTAGATTGTTAGTCTGTTAAAGCCTTTTTACAAGAATTTATTGAGAAAAGCGTTGCTTTTAAACAAAATCATTAAAACCAAACAGAGATAGAAAGCCTTATGGTGGCTTTTAAACAATGTACAAACTTGGAAATTTGTAGTAACCTATGTTAACTTCTTGCGCAGTCAACGACGCGTAAACTAGATTTATTGGACGTGTTTATGGCAACATTGTCGCAGATTTGGCAGCGATTATTACTAGCTTCCTTGGGGTCAATAAAATGTTTCCGTTTTTTTCTCGTTTTTTTACGCGATTCTAAACAACCAATGAGAGAGCGACTTCCAATTTTAGGGCAGAGAACAGTGTTGCTTTTTTGAACAACATAAAAACGACTTGCTTTGAGCACGGTGCAGGTGTTGTACAACGACGTTGCTGTAGGGGTTCCAAAATTTTGCGTGCGAAAATAAGCCCCGCCCCCACAACACAAAACACCTTCGAACAAAATGCGATTGTTGCATGTTCTCACAACTTGTTGCGAGTGTTACCTCCGAACAAAATACGACTATTGTATGAAGTCGAACACTTCGTAATCATCACATTGGCGGATTTAGCGAAATGGCAATATTGTTTTTCTCCATTTCAACCAATGGATATATAGCGACTCTTGGAGGGGCCAGGTGCTCTGACAAGAATCGATTATTTAACAAAGGTCTTCGAGACCCGGTGTTGCCAAATTGCTGGATCCGTTTCGTGGTCATCGCGTGGTTTTTATCCGCTTACTGATTTCTCGCGATCAGAAAATTGCAACATAATTTATTAGATTCACCTGCGCCAGAACATGACATAAGTCGCTAAACGACCGCTGGAGATAAAACTGAACTGCTTCGGAGATTATGCGGGCAAAGCATGATTTATGAGAGTGTTTACCTATATCATTTTCTTAAATTGACCGAGATTCCTTCAGCTCTTTCTGTCGCCTTTTTTCCAGGTAAAATAAAGAGGATGTTCGCCTTGCTGGAAAGCTGTGCCAGCAACCTTAGCACCACCATAGATTCCCGTGCGTCTGCTAATGAGCATGTAGAAATTAAGGAACTTTTCTCAAAATTTGCATTGGACGTCATTGGCTCTTGTGCGTTTGGGCTCGATTGTGGAGCCTTGAAGGACAAAAATTCCGAGTTCTACAGGATTACCAGAGTTCTTTTCATGCCGTCCAATAGATTCAGGTCAAACCTATAGCTTTTCACCCTAATTTGATGGATGATATATGCATTTCCCATTAGTACCGCAACATTTGGGTCAATAACCATATTGGGGGTACAATCACAATTAATTAGAAATGCCCATGTCATCCAACGACCCCTACCTCTTTTTTTCGTGGTGCCTTCAACCGACCCTGTTAACCTCAATCCTTAAATCCAATCCATCCCTCGAACTGATAAACTCTTTAGCCCTGTGTCCACTCGTCAAAATGGCGTCAAAATGGAAGCTCAGAGTGAATCGATAAATACGATCTGTTCGCGATTGTTGATCAAAAAAGAGTCGCACCTCTCTATTTTGAATTGCAACACCCTTCAATCGCATCAATTCCCGACTTTGAGCCACTTATCGTTGAAATCGATTCACTTTGAGCTTCCATTTTGGCGCCATTTTGACGAGTGGAGGCAGCGCTTTTAGCAAATCGATGTAGATGTGTACAAGATCTGTGTCTTTGTGCCTAAATGAGTTCAGAGTGGTGATATTTACTGTGACGGCGGAACTTAACTCCATTCCAAGGTAGCCAAATTAACTCAAACAATTCGATATTCCACGAGAAAGTACCTGTTCAATTTTTGTCCAAATTTCGTCTGATTTTTGCCGGAGATCAGATGAAAAACCAGTGAACATATCAGTTAAAAATGCCCAAGATCCTCCTAATAAGAAAGGAATTAGCGAGTAAAACGTTGACAATATGGAAATGCACGAGTAGTTACGTTCTTCCACGAGACACGATACGACCCGTTAGTTTTAAATGGACGTATGTCTATCAAATGGAACTATGTGCATTAAGACATGAGCCCTGAGACTCATAAAAATACATGTATACTTGGGCTCACGTCGTACTGCACACAGTTCCGTTTGATATAAATGCGTCCAAATAGAGTCCCCTCATAGAGAGAGTTAAGACAACGCGGCCCATGGATGTCACAAACAGGAATAAAGATTACACAAATTGACAGTTTTTCTTAATCTTTGATCGGCCCATTCTCAAATTCCTTTCTCCGTCCCGTCTCTCATTACGTTTGTTCCGTGCCAAACACGTAATTCCCCGGTCCATTCCAGATTATAATCTTTGCAATCGGTTAAAATGTAATCTTTATTCTCGTTTGTGACACTGTGGAGGCCTACAATACGGGAACCAATCAGAAATGGATTCACATTGTATTAAATTCCAGTAAACACTGAAAAAAAATTCTCGGCGTTTTTACCAAGGTCCGTTGGTACCTTTACCATCTCACTTTTTTTTACCAATTATTGGTAATTTTACCAAGACAGACCGAGGTGGGCTTACCTAAAAACCAGTATTTTTACTGTTTTTTTCAGGTAAGAATAACACTTTTATTGGTAATCACTTCCCGGTAACTTTGCCATTTTATCTCGGTAATTCTACCACAGTCGATAAAAAATATTGGCATATTTACCAAGGTTCAGTAAAATTACCGAGAAAGTTCAATTATTTTACCTAGATTTCTCGGTAAAATTACCAATTCCATAAATGGATATTTACCAAGAAAAAAACTGGGATCAAATAGAACCCTGAATTCTTGGTAATTTTACCCTTTTTTTAGTAAATACACCGAGATTTTTTTTTTCAGCGTAAAGGGACTCTAGACGATACGTTAGTTTTAAAATGATTCTAACAATTTTTTTTTCAGGGTTCTCAAACTGCTAAATTCCATCGATATGCGGTTAAACCGCTACCTCGTCGGCATTAAAACAGTCGCACAGGAGTGTCAAGATTTCTTCACGGAGGTGATTCACAGCACGATTGATGATCGAGTCTCAGGTGCCGCGAAGAGGACAGATTTCCTGCAGCATTTCATTAATCTACGCCAAGAGGAGGGGGGCGACACGGGGGACAAAAATGCGCAAGCAGGTTATTCGGTTTTCCAGTTTTATCAGCTTTCGCAAAAATGATAATGGGTTAATGATAACACGCCGGTTCATAAAATTCCGTCTTTGGTATATGCGTTTCGGCGAGTTGGCGTCGACCATGTTCCAACGCACCTTCCGGCTTAGCACGTCAACAGGAGGAGTTCTTTGCAACGACCACATTTCTTCCCGAAATTTGCAATAGACCTGTTGCAAGCTTCGGCAAAAGCAAAATTGAGAGTCACTTTTATCCAGGAAATGGCTCAAAAATCATGATGAGTGCATCGGAAAAGTCTGAAATACGCTCCTAACTTCATAATCTGTGTAAAAATGCTGCGTTTTTTAAGCTTTCCGCTTCAAAAACAATACTACGGAACAGGTGAACATTTCGTAAGAGCAGTCGTTTCATCCAACCCTTGCCCACTAGGATGCCACACAATATTTAACATGGCTGACACTTCCACGCGCAAATTGTCGGGAAACACCATGTTCTTTATGAACGCAAGAAAAATTTGAATAGAAACACGCTGGTTCATAAAATTCCGTCTTCGCGTATGCGTTTCGGTGGATTGGCATCGACCATGTTGAAAATTTTGTAGCATCTCATGCAGTGCGCAAGAGTTGGATGGAATTACTTTTCAACATGGTCAACGCCAACCCACCGAAACGTATATGCCAAGACGGAATTTTTTGAACCGGCGTGTTTCTGTTCAAATTTTTCTTGCGTTCATAAAGACCATGGTGCTTCTTGACAATTTGCGCAGGGAAGTGTCAGCCATGTTAATTATTGTGTGGCATCCTAGTGCGCAAGGGTTAGACGAAACGACTTCTCTTACGAAATGTTCACCTGTTCCGTAGTATTGTTTTTGAAGCGGAAAGCTTAAAAAAACGCAGCATTTTTACACAGGTTTTGAAGTTAGGAGCAAATTTCAGACTTTTCCGATGCGCTCATCATGATTTTTGAGCCATTTCCTGGATAAAAGTGACTCTCAATTTTGCTTTTGCCGAAGCTTGCAACAGGTCTATTGCAAATTTCGAGAAGAAATGTGGTCATTGCAAAGAACTCCTCCTGTTGACGTGCTAACCCGGAAGGTGCGTTTCATACATCGATGGCAAAGTGCAAAACCACTAATCTCCGTTTGCAACGTTGCCAACTTCCTGTCATACTTAACATTTTCCCCGGAGAACTTGTCAAGTCAATGTCTCGACAGCACCCTTGGGTTTATAACTCTATAGGCAGGATACTCTGTAAAAATTTCAAGGTATAAGGTTGACTTATTTCTCTTCAAAAAAGTAAAATAGGAAGGGAGACTATGAAACACCACGACTGATATACGTAGTTTCGCTTTTTGAATTTTGAATTAGAAAAGATAAACAACCTTCATCTAACATTGTCTTTCACTTGAGATCAATTTAAGAGCGATTCATAACCTTACTTTGCAGATGATCTATTTAAAAATACTTTCATTAACTGTAGCTTCATTAAATCAGCAGGAATCACTCTAACCAATGACGAGATTGCTGCTAATTCATTCGTTTTTTTCGCTGCTGGTTTTGAGACGATTTCATTGACGCTAACCTACTGCCTGCTGGAGCTGTCCTTAAATCCAGAGATCCTGGATAAAGTAAGAAAGGAGATGGAGGGTGTTGAGCGATCACATGGTGGATTTACTTACGAGGCTATCAGGCAGTTGAGCTATACAGATATGGTAATATCAGGTATGTAAGCTAAGGGTGGCATGGAATGAAGGAAATTTATAGGAGATTGGAAATGATATAGAAATATTTAGAGAAACTTTTGTACAGTTTATATTGTAATATATATTATAATATATAACAATATTTGTAATAGTTTTGTTTAGTGCGAAACCAGTAATGCCGAACAGTTTCCTAGTAAAATTACCATATGCGAACCAAGGTTTTTCGACGCTGGAATGAACTTAAGTTCTTTCGTCGAAGGCGGCGAATCGGAGAGGCTATTTAATTTTTGTGTCCACAAAAAACTAGATCTCTCATTTTTCCGTCTCTTTCACTATTAATTGCGACTCCAAAAAAATAATTGAATACAATATTTTTTCAGAAACTCTTAGAAAATATCCTGTTCTGCCGGTTGTGGAGCGATTGTGCGTGGAGTCATACACGATACCCGATACTTGCACGACAATTCCCCCGGGGATGAAAATAATTATTCCTACGTTGGGACTCCATCACGATTCGAATTATTTCCCTAATCCTGAGGTATTTGATCCAGAACGTTTCAGCGATGAAAGAAGGTCTACCATACAACCGGGAAGCTATTTACCTTTCGGCGACGGTCCACGAATTTGCATTGGTAAGCCTGATGTGTACTCAAAGAATTCACGGAATCAATTTGAAACAAACAGCGATTTTTTATTGTTATTTTTTACCTATCAAAAATTTGGAGCAGCAAATTCAGTTAGTCGTAAACTATTTCCTATCGAAAGTCAAGAAAAAATATTTTGGATCTGAAATTAGTACTTAAATTCCTTAACAGTTAATCGTATGAAGAAGTAAAAGTTGAAACCTCTTTTCCTGTGTTCAGACTTTATACGACTTGTTCAACTCGGTTCATAAACTTTGCAAAGGAAACATTTCGACGGTGCAACTTTCAAATCACGTATCTCATTTCTGCCGTGCCAAGGAAGAACGCCGTATGAACATTCGAGAGTTGCCAAATTGTCTCCGATAAAATGTTTATATTTTAGGGAAGGCATGAATATTTTCCCCTGAAATTTTCAAGAACTTCAGATGAAATTGGGAACAAAATTATCTGAGAAATTAGAGGAAAAATATTCATAAGATTACCAGGAAATTCGTGTTTTATCCAAGGAAATTTGACAACGCCTGAAGGTTCATACGGAGTTTATCCTTATGGCAGATTTGCCTTGTTAAAAGAATCACAGCTCCTATTTTATTTTTTAAAGGAGAACACATCGACAGGATTTCTTGAAGTTTTTCTAGGATTTGCTTTTTATAGAGAAGAAAAATGAGGGAACGCTTCAAAAATATACGCTGAGCAGTTTTCTGACCAGTTCTCCATTTACCGAGATACATGGTTTTGAAGTTTTATACCGTCGTTTTCTAACAGCGCTCGACTAAACATTTAACCAATCCAGCGGAGGCATTTCGTGCTATTGCGCATACATTTGCACTGCCGCACTAAGGAAGAAGGCCGTATGAGCATTCGAATGTTGCCAAATTACCTCTCGGAAGATATTTATTTTCGTTGAAAGTTATGAGCATTTTTTCTTGAACTTTTCAGACTTTTTCGATCAAATTACGAAGGAAATCCCCGGAAAAATCGAAAGAGAGATATTGAAAAATTTTCCTGAAAGTTTGTGATTTGTCAAAGGACATTTGGCAACGTCTGATGGTTCTTACGGCGTTCTTCCTTAGCATGACATTGCAACCGTCGTACGGTTGCATTTTGTCCGATTGCTTCAGCTGCCGACGATTAGCGTTCTTAATTTAGGATAACCCAAGGAAGATTTTAAGCCCAAGAGTTTCGAAATTGGTCCATGTTTAGATACACTTAAAGAAAGATGGAGATACCCCGGAACGACCCTTGTACTGTCTCCTTGGATAACGCAGACACGGCTTATCAGTTATTAAATCGAGCTTAAATCGACCCTAAAAAGTTCAGATAATCTCGCTTAAGAGGAATGCATTACTGCTTAATACCGTCTTAAAATGCATCGGCGCAACATCGAGGATTTGTGAAGAATAATTGGACCGAGTTTAGCGGAAAGGAACCAAGCCACATCAGCCATTGCCAAATTCAACAGGGCAATTTAGTTTTTTTTACAAAAGAACGTTTGTTCAGACACCTACGAAAATGTTTTGGAATTTGCATCGTTCTATGCAGAAAAGTCATGGAAAGTCGAACAAAAATCCGCACAACCGTTTTCATGTGAAAAATTAAATTGCCCAATTGAATTTGGCAATAGCTGATGTGGCTTGGTTCCTTTCTGCTAAGCGCGATCCATTTAGTCCAAGTTCAGCATATAGGCACCGAGTCACATTCAGCGAAATGAGAGGAGAATTCCTTTTTGTAGAAAACTAGACGGAAAAAGAGAACTTGATATCCATGTATAAGATACTAACAATTTTGCGCTCTTTTATTGGATTGAAGGAGGGGGAAATGACACAGAGAACTGAGAAGCAAATATATTTGTAATTAAATTTTCTTCATCATGTTATGAGATCTTTTTCCCGCGACTCTTGAAGATGATCCCGAAGTAGAAATTAACTTGAAGGAAAAACGGTGTCTCAGAACTTCCACGGGGAAGTTTATTTTTTATTTTAAAGTTTATTTCAGACATTTAACATCATCATCATCATTTATTATTATCATCATTTATTTATCATCATCATTTTATTGTCTTCTACTAACAAACAGTAAAACGAGGTAGGTGCTAGGATCATTATTTTCTCTAGATATAATTATTTTCAGTAGCCTTAATAATGTTTATTTGGTTTTTATAGGAATGCGATTTGCGCAAACAGAGATAAAATTGGCTTTAGTGCAGATAATCTATCATTACAATTTTCGACTCGTTGAAAACATCAGTCTCCCCGTGGAGGTGCATCCAGGTTCGAACATGATGACACCGAAGAACAAAATCAACATGCAGTTTACAAGAAGACAAGAAAATCATCTGTAAAACTGACTTGAAACCCCTGAGAATTCATTACTTCCGTAAAATTGTTTGTGTCATTAAGTTTTTATTAAATTTGACCACAAAATCATGAAGTCGCTTTTTCCATTATCGTTTTCTTCTTCAGAATTAGACAATAGGTTTTATAGACAAAATGCAATATATTCAAAATCACGGAGCAATTCATGATTAGCAGCAGTGGCGTGGTGTGAATCATCGATTATCGATATTTCCTCAAATGGTATACACTGGGGGAAAAAAAACAAAACAAAAAAAAAACATTGGATCTAGAGTCCAGACTCTCAAAAACATCGACAAGAAAAAATACTATTGATTCAATAGGATTTTTGCTGAAATCAAAAACCAAGCCCCTTAATTTGAGCGGATTTCCTTTTGATTTAAGCAAAAATCTGATTGAATCAAGAGTATTTCTTCTTGTCAATGTTTCCAAGAGTCTGGACTCTAGATCTAATGTGTTTTTTTTCCCAGTGTAAACGATACCCTAGTAGTCTTATTTTTGCTCGTTGAAAATGTCCATTTGTGTAACTCCGATGATTAAGTGTAAAGACTCAGAAAAGCATGCGTTAAACACAGACGCTAATTCCTTGCACCCAGGCATTTATCTCATCGTTCGACAAATTAAATCGACGCAAATTATGCAATCCGAAGCGTAAACTGTAAGATTCGACGATTAAAACACGGTCCTGTTACTTTGTAACTGACCCATTTCCGAGATTCTTACTGCGAATTCGAGGCGGGTATCCCTCCCTGCTCCAAGATACGGTTCTGGCGCCTTCTGAGACGGCGGGGCGCCTTGGAGGATGGCTCTTGGCGGTCGTAATTAAACTCGTTACAGCATGTTGCACAGTAATGAATAATGCAGCTTAAGAATTTAATAAAGCTGAACTCCCCCCCCCCCCCCCCCNGGGGTCTTGGATCGTCTTGGGATTTCATTCTCAATCGGCGGTTGCCACCGTCCTCATGAAAAAATTTCAGATTTCCTCACTAGGAAAAACTATGCTAAAATTTATCAAAGTAGGTATGCCTTATAAAAATTCCTGATCAATACACTGGAAAAAAATTGGATCTGGAGTCCAGACTCTTGAAAACATTGATAAGAAAACGGACTCTTGATTCAATCAGATTTAAGCTTAAATCAAAAAGAAATCCGCTCAAATTAAGAGGCTTGGTTCTTGATTTAAGCTTAAATCTGATTGAATCAAGAGTATTTTTTCTTGTCGATGTTTTAAGAGTCTGGACTCTAGATCAAATGTGTTTTTTTTCCAGTGTAGACTGATTTAGTGCCTGTGTCATGGTTCAAATGTAAACAATCACAAAACTTTTTTTCGGATTCGCAGCTTTGCGCCATGGTTGTAAATTGGGTCCAACTGTGCGTTATGTTTAGTGAAACCTTAATTTATTTCTGTCCGGTCAATGATTAAATTGTAATGAATTAACACAGTTAATTAACGAAGAATTTTTATATAAAGTTAGATTAGTGTGTTTAAGTAAAGAATTAAAGTAGTAAAGTAGTACGGTGGTAAAGTACTCTAAGTAAGAATGTCTACGAATGAAACTAAATTTACTCATTTATTCCTCCGGAATAAATGAGTAAATTTATGAGACAAATAAGTCAAATGCGTGCTTTATGATCGACGGATCGTAACAATTCGTCGCTCTTCTCACGAAATAACGTAACTACATTTTGATGTTGCCAAATTTTGCATTTTTTCGAAGAAAATCCTGGGCATACCTTACGAAAAATGTCACTAATTTTTCCTCTGATCTCAAGTGAAAATCAGATAAATTTTAGGAAAAATTGCCTGGGTATAATATTGTAAAATATTGAATTGTTTGAGTCAATGCTGCAACCTTGGAATGCTACGTTGCTTCGGACGAGAAACAAAAAAATGTCAAAAGAAAGCACTTTGGATTTTTTGAATCCACAGATTGGCAGCCCTTAAAACTCCGTGACATAACCTCAAAATTACCGACAAGACCCTACTATCCCTATCAACGATATAGAAACTGTAAATTGGTGGTGGCTTACGAAAAGTGTAATACACATGGAGCGATCGTTCGATAGGCGAGCGGGGAGTGGAACTGTCCAATTGTTATCCTCGACTTAACCTCAATAAAATGGGATCTTACAGGGCTTTTTACAATAAATTATTTAGCCTCGAAATTTTTATCGTAAACTCAATTGAGGAATGATGGCTAAGTTTCATATCTGGACACAGATGTTCAACATTTATTTCTGAAATTGACATTAGTCCTTATTCAGCGACAGTTCTATGAGAAACTATGAAAACCGACCATCCACGTTCTAACCTGATCGCTGCTCCTGGTTTGTTACAAATTTCACTGTTGGCGTAGCATAGGATCACCCTATGTATAGTTTCAAGACAGTTGCTTCGGCATCAATGCATCGCCATAAACAGCCAAAACAGAAAGATGAGAAATGCTCAGTTCTGCGGATTAATCGTGCCAATAATCGTGCCAAATATAGTGCGACCGGCTTGAAACATGCATTAGCGCCTACAAGACTGTAGGAATACTTCACGCATTGCGCCATACACGCACTGCGGATTAATCGCGCCAATAATTGCGCCAAACTTACTGCGATCACCTTGAAACGCATTAGCGCCTACAAGACTGTAGGAATACTTCACGCATTGCGCCAAACACGCACTGCGGATTAATCGCGCCAATAATTGCGCCAAACTTACTGCGATCACCTTGAAACGCATTAGCGCTTACAAGAGTGTAGGAATACTTCACGCACTGCGCTAAACACGCACTGCGGATTAATCGCTCCAATAATTGCGCAAAACTTACTGCGATCACCTTGAAACGCATTAGCGCCTACAAGAGTGTAGGAATACTTCACGCAGTGCGCTAAACACGCACTGCGGATTAATCGCTCCAATAATCGCACCAAACTTACTGCGATCAGCTTGAAAATTGTATTAGCGCCTACAGGACTGTAGAAGTGCTTCACGCATTGCGCGTAAGCCACGGTGCGCGCCTCAATCGTTGAATATTCGTAATTTCTCGGTGTAAGACCTACCGCCTGCTGTGTTCACAATCTCAGACCAGTGTACACAGCGAGCCTGCGATCCCAGGATCGTTCAGATTTTTCAACAGTCCCATGAAAGACCATGGAAAATCACCATCCTCGTCCTAATCTAATTTTTGCTCTTGGTGTGTTACGAATGTCACTGTTGGCGGAGCATAGGATCACCCTGTCTACACTACCGTGCTAAGAAAGAACGCCGTATGTGCCGCTTCAAGTGTTGCCAAATTTCCTTTGATAAAACACGAATATCCTGGTAAACTTACGGGGATTTTCTTTCGAATTTTGCAGACAATTTTGTTCGCCATTTCACCCACATTCCCTGAAAATTTCAAGGAAAAATATTCATATCTTCCCTCAAAAATAAACTTTTTACTGAAGGAAATTTGGCAACTCTCGGATGTTCATACGGCTTTCTTCCTTAGCACGGCATAATAGTTGCAAAGGAAACCCGACAAGGCCAGCAAGGAGGCGACTTCAATATTAATCTTCCACCGCATTGCTAAGGCGCAATGATACAACTATTCGTACTCTTCGGAATGCAAGAGGTATCACGCCACTATTGAAGGCTTTTTCGAAACTGTCAACTTTCCATATCGGGATTATTGTGCCGCATAAATTTTGGGGCATGAGATAAAATTGAAAGACTGATCCAACGAGCTAGTACAACAGTTATTTCCCTTTGATAATAAAACACAAATTCCCTGGTAAACGTATGAGTATTTTCCTTCTAATTTTTCGGATAAGTGTGATCGCAATTTCTCCTAAAGTTCCAGAAAATTTCAAGGAAAAATATTCATAACTTCCCTCAAAAATAGACTTTTTACTAAAGGAAATTTGGCAACTCTCGAATGTTCATACGGCGTTCTCCCTTAGCACGGCGGTGCAGTTTCTACATCATATATCCCTGTACAGGTGCTCCACATTTTTCATTGAATCTGGCAACGGCGCCTCACTACATTGACTCTCGGAAGCTCCTCAAAGTGAGGCGAAGGACTAATGAGTTAAATTTTACACGGGAACGGCTAAAAAGAGGAGGAGTAAAGAGTCAACGGATAAGGGGGAAGGAGACAAGGAGTGCGAGAAGTTGGGATTGCCCGAGGCTCTGGAATTGTGCGTCGAAAGGTGCGTGCGCTTGTGGAATGGGTTTCGAATTTCACTTGGGAGCCCAACACTCGACGGAACTTTCGGAGGGGCATGGAAATGGATGAATATCCTGCCGTGCTGAGGAAGAACGCCGTAAGAGCATTCGAATGTTGCCAAATTTTCTCGCCGAAAATATTTATTTTTGAGGGTAGTCATGAATATTCTTCCTTGAAATGTTCAGATATTTCGGATGAAGTTACGAAAGAAATTCTCTGAGAAATTGGAAGGAAAACAATTACAACTTTTTCCGAAAATTCATGATTTATCAAGGGAAATTTGGCAACGTCTGAATGTACATACGGCGTTCTTCCTTAGCATGGCAGTATCGACTTGACAACTTCGGAAGTCTTGCGAGATAGTGGAGCCGCGCCGCAGGGCCCCGCCCCGCCGCACAATAAATCGAATCGATAGGAGAAGTCGAACCAAATTCGGAAACTTTGGAAGCTTCTATTTTCAAAAATGTGAAACAAAATAGTTTAAGAGTGGTTTCAATGGTTTTTTCCTGAAATTATCTTTCAGAGACACCCCTTGAAATTGAATTTGTGACAAAATAAACATCAAATTTTGAAATTTTAGCCGAAAGATTCATGTCCTATCTCCTCTATTATCTCGATCTACTGTGCGGTGCGACGCGGCGGAGAAAGGACCTCTCGCAGTAGCGAAGCGCGAATGATCGACCATCGATATTTCCCCATTTGAAGCTACGTTAAAGAATCGATCGTTAAGGTGCTCGTTGCGGACACCCTGTTTATCGATACTCTTCCATAGGTTTGAATGGTAGGTCAATCGATGTATCACAAAGCACGCCGATTTGACATCGATTATTTCCCAAACGGGTCTGTTTCACGAGACGTTGCACCTTTGGCGTAAGCTACCTCGCTGAGGTAAAACGCCGTATGAGTCTTCACACGTTGCCATATTCCGTGCAATAAAAAACGAATTTACGGGGAAAATGGGTCATTAATCTTCTGTTTTTTATTTAATATTCTGGATGTACCAGGTGAGTAGATTACGTGGTAATTTCTTGCGTAATTTTGGGACCAAACTTCCGGACAGGCCCGCTTTTAAAAAGTGCAAAGACTCAGAGGAATTTTCAACGCACCGGAATGGCGGAAAAATGATGGAAGTTCCGTACTAGGGCAGTCAAATTGCCACCTTCCGGCTGATATGCGGATATGCGTTGAAATTGATAGACAAAGCTATGTAGTATGTAGACAATGACGACCAAAGGGTTTGAAGGAATTTTATTGGAGAACGCGGGTGGTTACATTGGACAATGGAGGTAGGTAATAGACTAACTAATTGCAACCCACGAATGCCATTGACTTTTTAGTTAGTCCATCATTTACCCCCTTAGTTCATATATACCACCCATTTAAAACAATAGAATCGCTCCATACTCCCTACGTCTTCTTTGTTCATCGCTTCATCTATCAATTTCAACAATCAGCCCACAGCGGACTGATTATTGAAATTGATAAACAAAGCGCTAGACAAAAAAGGCATAGAGAGTAAGAAGCGATCCAATAGGTGAAAACGGGTGGCTCTTATGACTAAGGGAGAAAATGATGGACTAACTATCGGGTCTCTCGTGGGTTGCCGTTAGTTAGCTCATCATCCACGTCCTGTGTCCATTGCATCCACCCGCTTCCACCAATAGGATCCCTCCAAATCCCTTTTGTCTTCTTTGTCTATAGCTTTGTCTATCAATTTCAATAATCGACCCACAGAGCTATTTTTTTCTCCGGAATAATGCTTGGACTCTAACCTTGTCTAGTCTTTTATTAATTAATCTTTACACTCCCGAAATAATTTTTTTTACGATGGCCATGAGAATGTGATCGCATCCAGCGGCCTTATCGTGTGCGCAAAGGACTGTTCTCTTCATATTTTTTTGGACATTATGAAACTAGCACACTCCTTGCACACATTCAGACTTGTATAAAAGCAGACAGCCCTATACCTAAATCATTAGTTCTGAGATTAGTCTCAAAATCATCACATCCATTCCAGTGCTTCAGTGTTTCACGAGTGGTTCATCATGCCTTTATTGTCCGTGGTTGTTCTGGTCTGCTGCCTCTTGGCCGCCGTGCTCTCGGCGCCAGCTGAGTTCTACACTTCGCAGTTTGACAACATCGACATCGAGAGCATCTTGGAAAACGAGAAACTCCTGGATAACTATTACAAGTGCCTCATGGACGAAGGGCCTTGCACCTTGGAGGGACGCACGTTGAAAAGTAAGTTTATGATCGCATCTTAATTTTCATTAAGGTGGCTCTATTGCACTTTGAACGAATTGCTAATGAAGCGATCAATGGGCCAATTGCGATGCGGTCACAAAATCTTATTTTGGTGCTTGGTTCTAGTAGATCAGCTAAAAATAATAAAATCGGTCCGAACAGCAACTTTCTGCGTACAATATTAACTGAGATATCGCGCTTTGAGAAATTTCGTCCAAGACGCCATCTACTTTGGTGGTGGTGAATACAGTTTTAATTTCAATCAACGTTGGATATTCTCGATGCGGTTTTACCATCTTAATTCATCCGTAAGATACATCCGATACCAAGGAAATTATACGAAGATTCGAAAATTGCCAACTACAAATTGTGTCGTGAGGAATGAAACAAAGAGCAAGGCTTCAAAAGTTGAATGATTTTGAGTGTTGAAAAATTGTTGATCACTTTTTCTCTTTTTTTTACTTACTATGCCATTTTTTTTAAAAAGTATGCCCTATCATATCATTTTCAAAGTTTAGAAGTACGGTTCCTGAAACACTTAATCAGCATATGAAAGTATAATGAAAGTACACAAATGAAAAGAAACTACACTGCCGTGCTAAGGAAGAACACCGTATGAACATTCGAATGTTGCTAAATTTACTCTCAAAGAGTGTTTGTTTTTTGAAAGCGTTATGAATATTTTTCCTCGGAATTTTCAGAAACTTTAGACCAAATTACAAACAGAGTCCTCTTAAAAACCAGAGGAAAAAAATTATCACACATTTTTTTGAAATTTTTCGATTTGTCAAAGGAAATTTGGCAACGGCTGAATGCTCATACGGCGTTTTTCCTTAGAATAGCAGTATATACATTTGGACTCAAGCCCTATTATGCATCTATTTTGATAGATCTCAGGTTTCAGGTGATTCAACGTTTGGCATTTTTTGTGTCAGAGCGACGTGCGATATATTGCATCAATTCGTTCCATAATTTCAGCTACTTGACTTATTTTTCGAATTTTGAGATCGCCTTTCCGTTGTCATGAGACTAAAGAATTCATGTACCACATTTGACAAAGAAATCTAACGTAATTATAGCAGGGTTTTTTCAGAGGAAAAATATCGAATTTGATCGAGTGCTATATTTTTCCTCTAAAAAAAACCCTGCTATTATTAAGTTGAATTTCTTTGTCACATTTGGTACACGAATTCTTTAGTCTCATGACAACGGGAAGACGATCTCAAAATTTGAAAAAAATGACGAATAGCTGTTATGGAACGAATTGATGCGATTTGTAGCACATTGCTCTGACACGAAAAATTGCGGCCGTCGAATCACCTTAATGTCAGAATAGATATAGTTCCTCTTGGTTAAAATACATCCAACTGGGATTCAAGATAATTAAATCGAATGCATTCTCGTTCCAGGTTTAATTCCGGATGCGTTGGAGACAGCATGCGCCAAATGCACGGACAAACAAAAGACGACTGCCCGACGGGTGATGACGTTCTACGTGAACAAGTACCCCGCTAACTCCGCCAAGATCATCAAGAAGTACGATCCAGAAAACAAGTTCAGGAATGGAATCGAAAAAGCACTCCTTGCATCCCCTTAGTCCAATAACGTAAAATTGGCCTCCTCATTTCAGGGAGGTCCTCATCAACAATGGCATGAAATTAGAAAGCGAGTTATGAATGAACTGACATACCATTCACATTGCCAGTTTATTTTTGGAAATGTTATGTGTACATATTAGTGTACATGGTTTAATGTATTATTTAATTTAATAACTGCTAATTTAATAACAAAATTATTGATAATAAATAATTTGAATTATTTCTTGGATATTTGCAAAAACTGAAATATATTCATACATAACCCTGCTAATGTATTTGCTTCCTATATTTACAGAGAGAGTTTGTCTTGATACAGAGGTGGACTCTCAGGGTATACTGAAAAAAATGTGTGCACTCACGCTCCATAAAGTATGGATTGGAGCCACATACGGACTGAAAAAAATTTGATGCCGACTTAAGAATAGCGCTACGAGTCAATTTTAGTTTGGCAAAATATTACATACGATGAGTATGGACTCTGAGTCCATTCCGTATGGAAAGTAAGTTCATACACCTACTTTTCCACACACACGCGACATGTTTACGGCACATCGTCACCTTCCAGCTAAAGTATCACACGTTTAAAGTTTCCAAATCTTGTCCGACCTCTCCTATTGACTCGATCCATTGTGCGCCCACTATTAGTAGAAAATTTCACGAGAAAACCAATGGAACCAAACTGGGAAAAAAACACATGGGATCTAAAGTCTAGACTCTTGAAAACATTGACAAGAAAAAAGACTCTTGATTCAATCAGATTTAAGCTTAAATCAAAAGAAAATCCGCTCTAATTGAGAGGCTTGGTTCTTGATTTAAGCTTAAACCTGATTGAATCAGTAGTATTTATAAACTACAAAAACCCTCAAAAACATTTTTCGGGCAAAAAATCCGGTCGAGGAAATTGACGTGTCACTTCCTTTTAATCAAGTATAAGATAGGCAAAAACTTTTGATGAATTCCCAAGGTTCACTAAGACTAATAATCATCAAAAAGTTCCAAAAACTTACTCGAAAGGAAAAAAATAAAATGAAAAATAAATCCCTTGCCAAAAATAAATAAAAAAACGATTTTGAGATAAATCCCTCGAATGAACTTGAAATCACAAAATCGGTCGAGGATGTCAATTGAAACTTTCCCCCCTTTAATTATGAGATCCGCAACAAGCGTGACTCGCTTGTACCTTTTCATACACGAGCCGCACGAATTCATCTCTTCTTCTCTCCTCTCCTTCCGTCCATGGACAGAGGTCCAAAATTTTTCGGATTTACTGACGCGACCGGCTGCGGCTCGATGCTCTCAGTGAATCGGTGCCTTCTTATCATCCCTGATGTCGGCTTCAAGTCGGTTGCAATTTCACCAGTCGACCCATTTTTCCATAACCACATGTTAGACTTTTTCGAAACATGATTCATCTGAAACATGGATTTTTTTTTTAAGGGAGCTTACCATTTGCTTTGGACGGTAGGTAGGTTGTAAGTAATAATTGTTCTTATACTCTATCAGTTAAGTATAAAATACATCTGTACCATTGGATGACATTTCGACAGACACGTTAGGTCCGGACAAGTGAGGGGATTTCTGAATCGCAAAATTATTAGTGGAATTGTTATAGTGGAGGAGTTGAGTCCCTTCACGGAATGAGCCCCACTTAAGTCGACAGGTTGTACGTGTTTCTCTCTGACTTATGTGTCATCTTAGTATAATCCACCCATGTTTACGCACCGAGCCGCAGCCGGTCGCGTCAGTAAATCCGAAAAATTTTGGACCTCTGTCCATGGACGGAAGGAGAGGAGAGAAGAAGAGATGAATTCGTGCGGCTCGTGTATGAAAAGGTACAAGCGAGTCACGCTTGTTGCGGAGCTCATAATTAAAGGGGGAAAAATTTCAGTTGACATCCTCGACCGATTTTGTGATTTCAAGTTCATTCGAGGGATTTATCTCAAAATCGGTTTTTTATTTATTTTTGGCAAGGGATTTATTTTTTTTTTTAACTTTTTGATGATTATTAGTCTTAGTGGACCTTGGGAATTCATCAAAGGTTTTTGCCTATCTTATACTTGATTAAAAGGAAGTGACACGTCAATTTCCTCGACCGGATTTTTTGCCCGAAAAATGTTTTTGAGGGTTTTTGTAGTTTATATCAGGTCGTTTTTGGGTGAATAAGTACCTAAAGGTCTGGCTGTACGAAGAGCTAGCAAAACCGAAGCGTCGAAAAAACACAAGCAGTGTTGTTGATTTCTCCATAAGCCACCATGTTAGAAATGCCGGTTTGGTTCACACTTTGTATAAGTCAGAAATTAAATCCCTATGTGAATAAAATCCAGGAGTAACATACATGAATGGATTTATTATGGCTTTGACCATCTATTTATAGCAAAATTTACACAAATTAACATCGATTGACTTAAAAAATGTCGAAAAAACACAAGCAGTCGTTGCTTTTCCCGTAAGCCGCCGTGATAAGAAATGCTTGTCGGTTCACACTTGGTTTAAGTCTCAATTTACTTCCTTTTTGGAATATTATTCAAGAGTATGATACATTAATGGATTCACTATGACTTTAACTACCCGTTTGCAGCAAAATTTGCAAAAATTAATGATGATTGAATTAAAAATGTCGAAAAAACACAAGTAGTTCTTGATTTCTCTATAAGCCACAATGATGATAAGTGCCGTCGGGTTCACACTTTTCGGAGCACAAGCGGCTCGGAAAGGCCCGTTAATGGATTGACTTCATCGGCGCTCCAGTACATTGCGACTCTATTGTACTCTATGGTTCAGAGCGAATCGGAGAACCGGAACGAAAGCAGAGTGCTACTCAGCGCTCCTGGTGGAGAAAAGTGAAAGTGAAAACTAGGGTTCCGGCGTTAGCCGCGAGAGAGCGCACCAATGCTGATTCTGAAACGAATCTGCAGGTGTTCATTGGTTGAGATGTAACTGCATCATGAGAATGTGGCCACCACAATTGAGTCCTTATTTTTACTGAACTTCAGACAGTGGGAAACGCACACAGAACTGTTGTCAAATTAAATGATGTTTTTAATTATTAATAATGGAACTATCGTGATCTTTTTATCCAAAGGATTGACGCCAAATCACGGATCGGTTGGGAACAATTAAATCTATGAATCGCTGCGTTGCAGCTAGTGTCTTTTGTCCCACCAATAACAAAAAATTATGTTGGTACCTGCACTTGGTATAAAGATTGACAACTGACTTGACCTATTTAATTTATTATCTTATGTGTTCTTAATGTAGTAAATAAGTCTGGAGATCTAAGTATTGGCATGAGTTCATTAGAAAAAAAGGCTCATCTGAATGTGAGAGGCCAAAGCGGTACTTACGGTCACCATACCTGGGTTCGTAGGCTCACCCTCGTACCTACTGAGACGGCAATCTCCATCTCTTGATCGGAGGATATGCCGCACCTAGTTGGTAAGAGTGGAGAGGCATTTATGATTACATTGATACCATGGGGTCTAATTGTATTTAGCCTTGATTAACACGATCACACTTATTCCAATGGAACTAGGCAGGAACACGTACCTACGAATCTTACTACTGTAGTCCTCGTAACAGATAAGCAATTTATTCTGTTACGCTTTTGAACAGAGGAAGAATGGACGCACCCATTTCACACAGTAATCGATGCAAGAAAATGAAGCCTTCATTGTATTTTTATCATCAACTTATGAAATTATGAGAATAAAACGGGTACATACCTTTCATTAAAGACCTTGTTATACATTGTTGGGCAAAATGAAGTTTCTAACAACTCCTGACGCAAAATCAAAGAGACTCAGAAGAAACCAATTTGAGCAAATGCTCACAGTCAAAGACCTTTGATTATGTGACATTAAGTTGACCTATGATTGAACTGTTCCGAAAAGGGATGGAATTGTGCCTCACATACTCAGGTTCGCAAGCCACGCGTAACAAGAACGGTAGAAGAGATAGGAGGATTCCAAGATAAATCATGAAGGAAACATGTTCTTAATGTAAATAACATACACTTCAGAGAAGCATAATCACTCCAGAGCACATAGGTTGATGGCAAGATATAGAGCGAATAAATTTTGGTCGAAGTTCAGTGACAGTCGCATGTGAAGGCCGAGGCTCATATTCCAGTAATTTTTAGACTTTAGTCGTGAGAATACATTCTGTGATGTAAATGCTGCTTCCTTTGGAGAGTTTGGCACAATTTCGGTGTAATTTCGTTAACGTAATTTACCTGAATTACATCTATCGCTTAGGTCAGGTACTGACATAAACATGACGACATAACCTCACTTAAAAATTTGTCACATTTTCGTTCAATAAAATAAAGATACCACTTGAAAATTTTAAGAGAAACTAAGGTAATAGTATATCGGGCTCCAGTAGAACACGTGAGACGTAATAATATGAGTATGTAAATATAGTAGTTAGCATCTACAAAGAATTAAACTCTTATCCAAATTAGGTAAATCTATTCACAACTAGTTAAAGAGGTTGGCAACGACCGACCAGAAATCACTTGAGATTTTTAAGAAACCAATGAAGTAGCGTATCGGGATAAAAGTTGGCGTAATAATATAAGTGTGTAATATTAGTTAGGATCTAAAATGAATTGAACTTTTAAATTACATCTGTTCATTATTCACAAATAAATACAGTAGATGGAGGTTGATAACGACGACAGGAATTTCGTTCCCGAAACTCGGACGAACCTGAACAGAATGAACCAATGGCGTTGAACCATTATATTACTGGTTTTTTTCTAAATTCAAAAATTATAGCTAAAATTTTGAAGGATGTAAGCGGATGCTGGATTATCCGTGAGATAAAGCGCTTTTTTATGTGGCAAAATGAAATCCTCACATCTTCACGGAGTGCCCTTTATATAGGCTCCATTACAATCTGCGGCCGGGTAAGCGAGAAATCTGTTGTTAAAGATGGTCATGACGGGCAGTTTAGTCGTATTTTCCGTAATTTCTCTTTAAGATCACTAGGAATGTTACAAAACTGTAAAAACCCGTGGACACGGTAACATGACGATTCTTTAGGTACCCACTTTTATGGGTCTAAGGTTTACCGTTATCGCGGAGTTTGAG